TCAAGCAAGCTCATGCCTTTTTAGCTTCCCAGTTGGTCTCCCTCCCTATCCTAATGTGTTCTAAATGCTTTGATTAGTTTAATCTTCATAAAATACTTCTGCTTTGTTCATAAACCTTGAGCCAGTGTTGCCTTTTCCAGTCAAGTCTCTGTTTTTTGCAGTGGCACTGTAGACCCTGTGCTTTGTGGTCCCTATTGTATATTTGGTGATCCAGTCTAGAGCGCGTCATTTGGGAACATTCCTGATGTGTCCCTCTCTGCATTTCTCCTTGGCACACTCAGTGATTCCCAATTCCTTAAGCAGTTCTCTCTCCCTTGAAACCTTCTCTGATATATATTAGTTGGAAATGATTTCCTTTCCCTCCTGTGACAGAAAGCATTTTAATTTCATCTTCCTTATGGCATGTAATATTGTCATGAATTATAGTTGTTTGCTTATCCATGTATTTGTCCTGTCCTGTGTATCACATTATCATCTTCTCACAGAAAGGATCCTATTTTCTTGTATAGACTCCATAATTGGGCACCCAGATAAATATATTTAGAATAAATATTTTTGGAGAAGTTACTTTGTTAGGGGGCTGGGATTTCTTTGCCTTCCCACATCTACCTGCTCAATGAAATTTGACAGTCCTAAAAAGTGTAAAGGGGATGGCTGGCTTGACAGAGGGGACTCTTGAAGAAGCAGTACCTTCCATGTTCCTCTTTCATCTTTTGGCTGTGCCAAGAGATGACTACCATTGTACATAAATAATTTGCTTGGGTGTATTGATGCCTGATTATTCTGACTCATTCATTCTTCTCTTCAGGAAATAAAATGTTGCCCTGATGGCAAGGACATCTCCGCTTTTGCACTGGGAGTTTGTGTGACTCCTGTCAGTGACTGCCCCCTCCACCTCTTATTCAGCCAGCCACTGCCATAAGAAACTCTCTCGCACGAGTAACAGCAGCTATAGATGCTTGCTCTGCCCACTTCCTGTAGTCAGAGAGGTTTTGGTGAACTCCTCAGGATCTGTGCCAACCCTGTCTGACTAGTGACTGACTCATGAGAAAAACAGCCTTATGTCTGAAAGATAAGAACCAACAAATCACCTCCAGGTGGTGTTAGTTTGGAGGTGACTGACCATTTCCTTTCTTTGGGAGGGAATCAGTAAATAAGTGGTCTTGGCTGCATTTTTCTCTAGTTATTAGTGAAGCAACAGAGCAAATAGTTGGTTCTCTTCTGCTGTAATGACTAGTAGACCCAATGAATCCCTTCTGCTGCTGTCAGGGTATCAGACTTATGTGTCATCCATCCTGTATCTTCCCTTCATTACTCTTCTCATTCTCTTGCCAGGAAGCTGGCTGTGTGCACAAGGGGAACTCTGCTTGTCCCATTGCTGCCAGATTTTTCTGTGACCAGCCAAACCTCATTCCTACTGATGCTGGTTTCCTCCAAAGCTCTCCCTGACCCAGAAGTTGATCAGAAGCAATGGTTCTGAACTGCTGTCCCTTGGCTGGGCTTTTAGAGGACCAGACAGGTGGGCCTTCCTTTCTTTCCCTCCCCTTCCCTCCCCACCCCTCCTGCCTCACTCCCATTTCCTGCAGGAGGATGCTTTGCCATCCTGGAGCCGTCAAGCACAGCTTTGCTTTGGCAGCACCCTAGCGCACACACTGGTGGGAGAGGGGACGTGTTTATCACTTTTCCTGGAGATTATCTGTTTAAGCACTTCTCTGACAGTTACAATAACAAGGGCAGTGTGTTGTGTTTCCCAGCAGAAGGACACTTGCTGTTGAAAGATGTATAGCACTAATTAGAAATACATAACATCCGGCCACATGGCAGCCTTCTCCCGGCCGCTCCATTTCCTGATTTCATACAACTTTGACGACAGTTGGTTTATGTTTTCCATGAATATGTTCTCAGAAAAATGAGAAAGTCTCCCTGTTACATAGGAGTGAGGAGACTACTTCTGCAAGAGTAGGTATTTGGCCATAGGAATAGTGGGAGTTATGGTCACCTGTCTACCTGATTGCCTGTGGGAAAAGGGAGAACCAAATTCAGCAAACTTCAGGTGACTTTCTTGGTAAGAAATAATTTCTGTCTGACTCCCTTAGCTAAAACCATCCCCCTAAATCCTGGAGCAAGCCTGCTTTTGGAAAGAAGGGGAAAGGCTGTTTCACATTGTTAATGAGTTCCTCAGCTCATGTCAGGCTCCCAGTACCTGACACAAAGCCAGAGGAACCCAGGCAAATACCAAGACAAACAATGCTTTTTCCTTCCCCACCCAGACCACTTGTTAGCCTGGTCCCGCCCAACTGTAGGGCTATCTATGGGCATTCTTCAGCAGCTAGTTTCCTAGATCTGGACCCAAAATGGGTAGACTTTGAGAATCTGGGTGCTGTTTCTTATCCATTTGTATAAGAGCAAATACTTTTCTCCAGGAGTGGCACTTCATGGCTTCTAACTCATAGAAGCTTAAGTGAGCTGAAGCGCATTCCTGAAGATACCATAGCTTTATTGTATTTCTCAATGGAGACAGAAGTTACCATCGTTACTTGGATTTAAAAAAAAATTTTTTTAATCAACTTAAAGGTCCAGGGGTTGCACAGACTCTGTATTGTAACTGTGTTCTCCACAATCCCCAGCACTGGGTCAAGCATATGACAGAGGCCCAGTATGTGCTTATGGTAACACCAAACTATGAGGAGAGGCAGGTCATCCTCAAAGCACTTCATATAAATGGTGACTCAGAGGACTGTCCCCAGATATTCTATGACATCGCAGCCTGCTTGATCAGAGCAGAACAGCTTGCTGGCTTGTACATCCCCATCACTTGGACCACATACCCAGCAGGGAGAGTTACCAAGCCCTTCTTGGGAAGTGGGGAGAGTGAAGGGTTGGAACGCCATAACCATGGCCAAGAAAAGAGCAGCTGTGCAACTACCTTCCGGCTACTGCTCTCAGAGCCCTTCCAGACCTACAGCAGACAGGGTCCAGTTGTTGCTGCGCTCGTGGTCCCCAGACCTGATTGCAGGAGGCTTGCAGAAGAAGCCAACCTGTACTTCCCAGTGGCCACAGATGTCGTCGTTCTTAAGCAGTTCATTTTACCCCTTAAACTATGAGCTCACAAACTCTTAGAAGTAGTCTCATGTGATACTACCATTTGTCATAAAAATAAGAAGTAGACTTGGTGAAAGTAATTTCCCTCTGTCCCATCCTGTCCTGTGCTTCTTGACATGCCAGTCTCTTGGAGCTGAGACATCCCACTCACCAGCCTCTCAGTGCCTTCTGTGCAAATAGCTTCTGCATAAGATACTTAGTGTTAACTCCTAGGATGCGGCCTTCACCAGTGTCCTGCCTTCACTTCCCTCTTGACTTACTCTCCCACTTTAGCTTTTGTTGCTAACTGTAAGACAGGCTATTGGTAGTGTCGGCAGGGTCCAGGGCTGAGCTAAGGCAGTAAAGACACTTCTGTGACCTACTCAGAGGGGTAGAAGGGAGAAATTAGCAACTTTTCATAGAATGGCTTACAGATCTTCCCCTTGCCCTTGGCGTTTGGATGTTGGTTTTTTGGTCTCTCTAAGGAGTTTAGGGCTTTACCAGAAGAAGAATGAGAGTGGTGATCTATTCTAATCACATGGATTGTTACCACTTCCTACTGCCTCCCACAGTTGAATCGGGACTAGTGGGCATCTGGAAATATGGTGGGAAAGCCACAATAGAAGACTTGCTACCCTGATGCTATTCATGAGTTGGGAGCTTCCTAGCAGCAGCCTGCCCTTCGTACTCCCAGGGCTTTCTAAAGTGGTTTGGGGCTGACTTTGTATACTCCAGTCATGTTTGTTCCTGTGGCAAAGACAGTTAGAAATAACTGTGGTTGTGTAGCATCTCCTAGAGTAAAGCTTTAATTAGGTCCATTGACAAGACTAATGTCAGTGAGGAAGAGGGTTCCCCCCTTTGGCTATTGAGGTTAAAATGTAGGCATGGACAGAGATCAAACATGTGGCTAATTATCCTTTTGACACTTGGAGAGTCTAAGAGTTCTTCTGGGTTTTGAAGGGAATTAACAGATTAGCCGCTGCCAGAGTGAGTGAGCTTCGCCCTTGATTCTATCCCGAGTGTGTGTAGCTTCTGCTCTCTACCTCCTCTGCAGGTTAGACTACTGCCTTGTGTTTGGCACTGATGTGTCTCAGGCATGGTTGAGGTGGCTATCAGGGAGTACCACTGACAAAGACTAGGTGCAGGTAGTGTTTTGGGGGTATATATATAACTCCTGCCAAAGAATAGTTCTGGCCACTGCTCCTTGCACTGACCTGTAGCCAGAAGGAAGCTAGCCAGGCTGAGAAAGTAAGGGAGAGAATGCTAGTACTAGGAGCCAGATTTATTTTTTAGCCATAGGGGAAAGAAATTTGTGACAATTAAAAGCTAACACTAGTTAAGTGCTTTTTATGTGCCCTGCATTATTCTTTATAAAATTAGCTCAGTCAATGAAAATAGCTTATTCATAAATGTCATGTATGTTCTCTGAAGAGGAAGAACACAGAGAAGTAAGGATGAAAGGAAAGGTTGATGATTCCAAAACATAACTTTTAAATTTGTATTCTTCTGATCTTAAGTGATAGTTGAATTCCTGCTGTCTATACATTAGAGAGGCTGTGTTCATTAAATATAAGTTCATGTTACCGTAGCTTAACATCATCAGTAGCCAAACCGAAGACAGAGAGCTTACAACTCCAGCTCTAACTGTCCACGTTAGGATAACCGGTGCTGGAGAAGTAATAGGATATAGAATTTATTCAAGTCGCCCCTATAATGACATTATTGGGCACTTACCCATATCCAAGCATCATGGTAAGTGCTTCGTGAGCATTATTTTAGTTAACCTTACAACCTTACCCTTGAGAGAGGGAATACTACTACCCCCAGTCGCAGGTGAGGACTACCTGAGTAATGTGACCTAGTAATACAGGGAAGAGTATCCCCAGGGTGATGATGGAGTTCCATTTGCCTCTCCTCAGACTGCTTCTCAGAGGAATGTCGTTCTGTGATCCAGGAGCAAGCTGCAGCCCTTGGCTTGGCCATGTTTTCTCTCCTAGTGCAGCGGTGCACCTACTTGCTGAAGGAATCTGCCAAAGGTAAGCCGGCGAGAAGCGCTCTGGCTGGTGGGCTTTCTAGCTGCCTGGGTCCTGTCCAGACAAGACTCAGCATGCCAGGCTGCTTTCTCAGTGTCTTCTCTCTACTGTCTAGTCTTCCTTTTCCAAATGTCCTCTCTTCCTTTGCTCACCTAACTAGTCCCATCTCTTTGCAGTCTGGATAATTCTGTTGTCTTCCCCCCTTCTCGTGGAACAACTCCTCCCTCTTTTCTACTTTAGTAGTTAGGATTTTCACTGTACCTATGAAATGTGTGTTCCTGCAACTTTTAAAAACCAGAAAAATGAGTTTCCCTTTTTGTTCATAAATGATGTTTTGGTCCCACCCACATCCCTCTTTGCCTGGTATCTTACGGGTGCAATATGGCTGCTTATCAGGGGCTCACTGGATCAGAGCAGGGGGCATTTTTAGCTCTTGGGGTGAGCAATGTCCCATATCCTTTAAGGGTGCCCTTAAAATTCCAAGCTTGGAATTCTGAGCAGTATAAGGTATGGCTACAGGTTTTCAGCTCCTGGGTTAGTCCTGGTGAATAGTCCCCTTTGTTGCTCCCCTCCCCCATCAGCTTTGTGAATTCCTCCAGCTTCTAGAAGGCCTTTTTCTTTTTGTGGAAGGGAGGGTAGAAATAAATTTTGTTTTGAAACAATTTCAAATTTATGGAAAAGTTAGAAGAATAATAAAAAGGACTCTTGCATACCCTTCACCCTGACTCCCTGATTGTTGACATATTACTGTATTTGCATTCATTTGGTCACACACACACCTATGCTTATTTTTTTTCTCAGCCATTTGATTGTAAGTTGCAGACATGATAATAATCCTGCAAATACTTGTCAATGTATTTTCTAATAACAAGGACATTCTTTTATATGACAGGATAGTTATCAAAATCAGAAAACCAACATTGGTAAAGTATTATTGAGTCTACAGATCTTACTTAGTTTGTATCATATGTCTTAAAAACGAAAAAGGTTTTTGTAGTCTTGGATCCAATTTAGGCTCATATGTTGCCTTTAGATAGGATGTCTTTTTAGTTCCCTGTAACCTGGAGTGGCTTCTCAGTCTTTCTCTATCCTTTATAACTTTGGCATTTTTTAAGGGTATAAGCTGACTTATTTGCAGAATGTCCTGCAATTTGGGTTTTGCTGTTTCCTCATGATCAGATTCAGTTCACACTGTTTTGGCAAGATTCACATGCCATCTTAGTACTGAGCTGGAAGAAAACAGTAGTGACTTCAGTCAGGCCACAGGTGAAGCAGAAGCAGCTGCTGCGGGGGCAAACCCAGTGCACTGGTTCTCTCTTTGTCCTACTTTTCAGAATCCTCTTAGGTGCTGGCGCTTGTCCTTCGCTTCTGGGCCCAGCTTTCCTGTGGACTTGGTCTCCCTTCCCTAAGAGCTTGCTGCCGTCCCAGCGTCCCAGGCCTGATTCGGGGGCCACAGCAGACATAGGCCCAGTTTTCACCCTTTGCCTCTGCAGCTCAGCTGTCCTCTCTCGAGGACGAGGATGACCAAGATGACATCAAGGTGTCGTCCTTCGTGCCGGACCTGAAGGAACTGCTTCCCAGTGTGAAAGTCTGGTCAGATTGGATGCTCGGCTACCCAGACACCTGGAATCCTCCACCCACATCTCTGGACCTGCCCTCACAGTGAGTTAGCCTTTTCATTCTTGTGGCACTGCCAACCATGGCCTGCCTGTGTGCCCACAGCTCCTCTCCTAGTCACTCTTCCTTGTTCTCACCCACACCTATTTATTTCTCTTGCTTCCTCATTTGAACTTTGGTTTTCCCCTTCCTTCACACCTTTCTTGTCTCCTAACATTTTGGGTTATTTTTGCCTATTCTCTGATCTACTCCTTTTCCTCTACTCTCAGTCTCTTTTTTTCTCACTACTTAGTTTGTTGTTCTCTTTTGTTCTTTGTCCTTGCTCTTAATATCTCATTCTCAGTTCACATTGTTCATACTGTCCCTGCACCTGCCCCTTCGGTTTTGGTGTGTGTGACTTTGTCTCTTTCTTTCACATTTAGTTCATCTCCATGCACCTTTAGGGCTGTGCCCCACTGCTTTTTGTGCTATTTAATGCTCTGTCCCCATGCCTTCCCCTTATGACATTGTAGTATCTGAGGAGGGGTCAGTGCATGTACCTTTATCTTCCATTCTCTTTAATCTCTGTTTCCTCAGCCTCCCCTGCCCCCATCTCCTGCCTGTGTGTGTCTGCGTGGTGTCTGAGCATTTGTCAGGGTGGGGTCTGGCAGTCTAGGGAGCTTGTGTCTACTTGGTTATGTCTTTGTATATCTGTTCTGTTTGTATGATTTTTTTTCTTTCCCTTTTTGAAGTATTGGTTATGTGTGTACACATACACACATCTCTGTATGCTTGCCATCCTAACTGTTTTTAAGTACAATTGACCCTTGAACAATGTCTCTTCGTTGTTAGGGGCACAGACCTCCATTTGAAAAATCTTTGAGTCAACTTTGACTCTCCCAAATCTTAGATATTTGTCCCTTAATATTGTGAGGGCTTGGTTTTAGAACTCCTCCTCAGATACTAAAATCCTTGATACTCCAGTCCCTTCCTTATCCATGGGTTCTCATCCATGGATTCAACCAGACAACTTCTGCAAAATTTCCAAAATCAAAAGTAATAAAAAGCTCTTTGAATTTTTCCTTGTTCATCTGATGAGTCAAGATATACAAAGGACAGTACGTGCAGAGGATACCTTTCTCTGAATTAATCGAAATTCAGCCCTGTTCACTTGAGGCTTAACAAAAAGCAGTTCCCTGGTCTCCAATGCAAGCCTTATCCTGGCTTATTACTATTTTTTTAAATATATTTGTGTTGCTTATTTGTAAGATTATAAAAGTCACTAAAGCAACTAAAAATCTACAAAGTAAAGAAAGAAAAACATGTCTAAGTGGCTCGTCAGTTGTATGCTATTCAAGGGCCAGCTGTATACGGCTCATTGGCATGCTCTAGTTCAGCTGTTGTGTAGTCATTTGTGAATGCCCTAGATCACTCACTGTGTGTAGGCTGTGACTGTGTGAACCTGTGTCTGCCTGTTTGTGTATGTCTGAGTGTCTGACTGAATGTGAGGGTGTGTGTGTGTGTGTGTGTGTGTGTGTGTGTCTGTCTGTCTGTCTGTCTGTCTGTCTGTCTGTCTGTCTGTCCCTGGGTATTTGGGATCTAGGGTGCCGGTCCGTATCTGGATATGTGTCCATGTGTGTTTCCTTCTATTCTTAGATTTGTATGGTCCTCTTAGTAGGGTTCATGTGTACCCACAAGGGATCAGTTTTATTGTGTGTCTGTGTCCACATCTGTTCATGTCCATATCTATATCTATCTTGTGTGATTCAGGATCCATGTCTTTTTTGGTCCTGGCTGTCCATGTGTGTGTGAGACTATCCAGTTGGAGTGTATATTTGTATGTTTGTAAATGTCTTTGTATATAGGACTGCCCATGTCTATGTTTGTCTGTGACTGTGGCTCTGTGTCAGTCTGGATTTGACAGGGTTTTCTGTCTGTGTGGGTCTACCTGTGTCCACCTGCCTCACCTATTGCCTGCCTGACTGGGCTTGTCCCTGTCTGCCCATTTCTGTCTTGTCTCTTGGGCTGCCTCTATTTGCCTGCCTCCATTATTTATGAGAGTCTATATTGGTGGTTAGCAAACTAAAGTCCATGGACATTTTAAATATTTGGGGAGGGGGAAATCAAAAGAATAATTTTTTATAACTCATGAAAATTATTTGAAAGTCAAACTTAAGTGTCCATAACATTGTACTGAAAAACAGCCATGCTTACTTATTTACACTTTGTCTGTGGCTGTTTCACACTGCAATAGCAAAGTTGAGTAGTTGCAACAGAGACCATATGGTCTGCAAAGCCTAAGATATTTACTATCTAGCCTATACAGAAGAAGTTTGCTGACTCTTGATTTGTATTCTTATTCCCATGTGTCCTGTTCTTTGTTAATGCCACTGTCTGTGTATTTGTGTTTGCACAGATGTGTCTTAATATACTTGTAGGGAGGCACCTATCTTGTCTCCTTTTCTCTCCCACCTCTTCTCCTTCCCTCTCCCTCCCTCCTCCCTCTCCCCCTCACCCCTTCTCCCTCTCCCCACCCCTATTAGTTTTGCTGTTTCTGCCTCTTTTCCTAGTTTTCCTTTCTCCCTCCCTTATACTTCCTTCCTCCCTCCCCCATTCTCTCTGTGTTGTGGTCTCTGGCAGGTATTGTGCATTGAGAGCTCTTTCAAACTCTGTGTTGGGTATGTGTGTGTGTTCTCGGGAGCAAGCATCCATACCCAAAATCTCATTATCCTTCTCCAGTGGACTTCAGTGGGCGGGGCAACACTGGAGGGTAAGGTAGAGAGACCTAGGCTCCTGCCAGTGATTCTTCTAGAGAGTAGGAAGGGGTGATCCTCTGGATTGTGGGCCTGCCCATGTGAGTCTGCTGGACTCTTGGGTGACCAACAAAGGGAAGGCTGTAAAAGAGATATTTGGTCAGCAGTTCCTGATCTTTTTGTGTGGACTGGGTAGTCTGTTTTTCTACATTCCTTCATTAGACTTCTTCCTTGTTCCTTACCCCAACAAGCAACCCTGGACTGCTGAGCCCTCTCTTCCCATACTCTCCACCTTATGGCTCTCTCTTCAACTGTGTCAGTGATATTCACAGCCTCTAACAATTCACTTTATCCGTACTGTGAACCCTCCTTGTTTTGCATCATGCTGTCCAGGCCTCATGAGCTAGGGTTGAATCCTGAGCTGGGGCCACACAAAGGAACTGACCGATCTGCTGGCCAGGGACAGCTGTTTCCCAGCAGTGTTCCCAAAGAGTTAACTTGTACAGCCTCAGACTTTTCAGGCTATTAATCTATAGTACCGACTGGGCAATTTGCAGTTTTGGAAAGAAAATGACAAGGGAGGGCTGAGCTCTCCAAGTTGCTAAAGCCTCTGCTTGTGAGCATGTGCAAGGGTCACAGAGGGTTCCTCCCTACCTCTCGGGGTTTGGGAAGCAGACCATCTGTCCTTGGTCTGCTTGGGCCTTCTCTGGGTCACCTCACCTCACAACCATAGGTCCATGACATATGATCCACCCAGGTCCTGTTCACCCATATCCTGGGCCATTAGGCCTGTTAACTTTCTTGTGAGGCTTGTCTCCTTTCATCTCTCCTCCCTCTCTCATTCGCCTTGGCTTTTGTTTGAGGAAATGGAAAACTCACACAGGAATTGCTGGGCCTCATTTGCTTGAGATGCTGATCTGTTTTCTCTTTGGATGTCCTAGCAAATGGCCTGTTGCCCACTCATGCGAGCTGCTGCCCATCTTTGGGCAAGGGCTTGCTCTTCAGCTAGGCACGTGGTCTAAGCTACAGCTGTCCCAGCTGGGTTTCACCTCCTGGGCTATAGAGAGGCAGAGGGGTTGAGACACTTGGGTCCAATCTGCTGTCTTTTCATACTTTTTTCCCCACATGGAGACTGATTACAAAGTAATATATGGAATCTGATTTGCCCAGTAATCAAGTGCCTGTAGCTGTGGCCTCCTTATCCCCCGCTATGATTTTAATCTAGTCTCAAAAAGTCAGTGTAACAGGGAACAGAATCCCCTTCAGTGCTCCTTCTCTCTGCAGTCAGGATCAGCAGCTAGTTGTCTATGGAATGCAAGTTTAAGCAGAAAGGAGGAGCTCTGCTGTGCTGAGGCTGGACTGTAAGGCTTAGCAGTTTGAAGGCTGGTGCTACTGTTGGACAGAGCAAACCTGAGCAGACAACCACTCACCTTGTAACTTTTAGATCCAAGCACTGGAAAAGTAGAATAAAAATTTACTTCCCTCATTTTCAATTTCTATATAGATGTCTAATAGTCACTGAGTAAATTCTCTGGTTCAGAAATTAGCTTTGGTACAGTTATTCTGTGGGTTTTAAAGTTGTATCTTATTGTTTCCTCCATCAATCTTCCACGCTCTAGAGCCTTTTCTTTCTTTTAAGATGGTAGGAAATGACACAGATAGTTCTGTGGATGTCAGAACAATAATCCTACTGACACTCTAAGGTTCTTGTGCTGATCTTCATTTTGGGGGGATTGGGAATGCTCCCCAGAGAGTAGGAAGGAAATGACTTCCATTTAATGCCTCTCCTCTACATGCTTCCATTGGTCTTTGCCTGTGTTTGTCCTCTGCAAAGGCAAATTCTTCATTAATCCAGTGATAAAGTGACCACATAATGTACATTTCACTTTGCTTCCTCTCCCAGAATTCCTATTTCCAGAGTGTCTCCCTGACACATTTGGGACTCTTACGTGATCTTCATTTCTTTATTTCCTCCCTGTCTTTCATTTTGTTACCTCCTTTAGAAAATCATTTCAAAGTATCCTCTACTTTCTTAGCAAGGTTTTTCAAAGTCATTGTTAGGGCCTTCCTGGTGGCACAGGGGTTAAGACTCAGTGCTATCAAGCTATCTGCAGCCTCTGCAGCATGAGTTTAGTCCCCACCCAGGAGCTGGCCCACATGGTGCAGCAGACCTCTCCTGTCTCGCCTACTGCTCCCTTCAGCAGTGTATTTCAGTGGATCTGCCTGTTCTGCTCCCCACTCTGTCTCTGGTGAATCTTCTCACTCCCTACCTCTCTGGCCTACACCCCAGTTCTTGTATGCATAAATAAATAA